GAGAGAGAGAGAAACATCAGTGATGAGAGAGAATCATTGCTCGGCTGCCTCCTGCATGCCCCCTACTCGGAATCAAGCCCGCAGCCCGGGCATGTGCCTTGGCTGGGAATCGAACCCGGGACCTCTGGGTCCATGGGACGACGCTCAGTCCACTGAGCCACCACAGCCTGGCTGAAGGTTGGTTCTCAGCTGAGCTGTGCAGTCCCCTCTGGCCAGGGACGGGAGAGGGACAGTTGGGAAAGTGCATCGGTGTTGTAATGAATTATTTAGCAAAGGAGAAAAAGATGTTCCATTTTCCTACTCATGGTCATTAAAAAGGAGAATGACATTCTTAAGAATCAAAACAAGGGCAAGAGGTGCCGTAGCCTGGAGCCAGGCAGCCAGGCGAGTGAGCCCAGGTGCCTCCGTGCCCTCGGGGCGATGTGAACAGCTTGCACCTTCAGCTCTTCTTCCCGCGGAGCCGGAGCCGCTGTGCAGGGCTGAGCCGAGGCCTGTCTGGGCTGTGCGGGGGCTGGCGGTGAGGGCTGGGCTGGGAGAGTGACCCCTTCCCCAGGGTCACCCGGCTGCAGAACTTCCTCTGGTCTGTCTGCCTGCCCCTGGGCTGTTTCCACGCTTGGTGCTCTCTGCCCTTCTGGGAAACAGCATGCTAAGAAATGATTGTTTTATTTACTAATTTGAGAGGAGGGGGGGAGGGAGAGAGAGAAAAAGAAGAAAAAAAAAACATTGATTTTTTGTACCACTTACTTGTGCATTCATTGGTTGATTCCTGTATGTGCCCCGACCGGGGATCGAACCCACCACCTGGGCACATCGGGATGACGCTCTGACCAACTGAGCTACGCAGCCAGGGTCTAAGAAATGACTGGTGTACGTGCAGGAGTTTGTTTTGGGCCTTTCAGCTACCTTTCTGTGATTGCTTGGGGAAGACTGCGGCACCGCCGACATGAGAACCAGGGCTGGGATGGAGGATCGGCAGGAGGGCCGTGTGTGTGTGCGTGTGTGTGTGTGTGTGTGTGTGTGTGTGTGTACCCTCCAGAGGTTCTTTAAAAAGCAGGCGCCGGGAAAACCCTCACCCCAGCACCATACCCCAGCCTCGCAGTGCGCCCTGCCCCCAAGCGCACGTCAGAGAGAGAGCCCCGGCTCTGAGGTGGTCATTGCTGTCTCTTTTCCCCTGGGCAACCCCCACGACCCTCCTCCCAGCCTCTGCCCGACTGGCCGTCTGGCTGTCCTCTCGCCGCCCTCCTGCCCGGGGAGGCGGGCAGAGCAGGACTCTGTCCCCGCGTGGAGCAGGCGGAGAGCGTGTGTCAACTGCCCGGTTAGGCCTGGGAGCGGCTGCTGGAGGCTGGCCGGCGATGGCAGTGTGTTTATGTGGCTGGTCCAGCTGCTCCTGCCTGGACATCTGGCCGGGCCCCTGGGGAGTCAACGGGCAGGGCCGTGTCTGCCGGG